AGGAAAGTAGGAATGCAAGTGGGTTTTGAGTTAAAGGTCATTAAAAACCACTGGATTTTACTTCAGTGTGTTTCTTTATCTTTGAGCTACAACACACATCTGTTTATTATTCCTTAATAGCTTCATCAAGTTTCAACAAGCACATCAGTTAAGCTGGGAGAAAAAAATGTGGTGAAGTAAATAGTGGTGATTTGTGCAGAAGTAATCTGTGCCCAATGACTTCAGAACTAGCAGGAACAGGCAGTCACTCATTCAATGCCATTTATCACCTACGTGGAGCACAGAAGTCCTCCTCTCCACCTTTGCTACAACCCATCTTTGTTTTAGCCAGGAGACAGCCCGCAGCTGTTAGCACAGCCCAGACTGCTGCTGCAATAGCAGCCCCATCTCCATGGTCAGGGAAAAAACTCTGGGGTCCCACCCTCATGCTGAGGACAGAGTCAGGCTTCTGCTTCGAAGTGGCCTGGTTTTCATCTCCCTGAGAGAGCACACATCCTCTCAACATCAGTCTTAAGATGAGAAAGACCCGCTTAAAAAGGGACTGTGAGACTCTTAAGTGTTTCACTAAGAGCATTTTGCTGCTTCAGAAATGTCTCACACCCCTCCAAAAGTGTGACAGATTTGGACACTACTTCAGGAACCCAAATATCGATGGCAGCTTTTGCAGGAAATGCTTGAAAGCAGAAAGGAGGAAGTCGTGTTGGGGTCAGAGGGCTCAGGAGGACACACAGACTCTGTTGCTGTGCCTCCCACTGACTTGACCTGATGAGGTCACTTGAATGTGGATGCATTTCCACTCTCAGCGCATCTGTTTCCTCTCTCCTCTTCCACTGCCACAGTGGGTCAGTGTATAAACTAGCCAAGAAATGGGCTGAACTACCACTGAGGATGGACCAGCTAGTATTCTGAAGCTCTGATCTCCTCAATAACTGATCCTCCACTGATCTCTCTCAAAAAACAACAAACAAGCTACCTGAACAGTTGACACAAAGCTGTCAGGAAAGCAGTGGTGGGGAACCTACGTACTCAGTCCCAAGCAAAGTCCCATGACAGATTTAGTAAAACTAAACTTGTTGTTGGCACTGGCCAAGGGAAAATGTGCTCACAGAGTGGATGTTTAGCTGGCACATCTATGGATCCAGTTGCAGGCATTTTCAGCTCTTACCTGTGACACCTTCCTTCTTGCCAAGGAGCCAGAACTCATCCACCACATCCAATACCTCGATGACATCTCCCACAAAGAGGGGCAGCTCCTCAGAGACACTGGGACAGAAATCAAAGACTGCTCGGACCACAGAGCCAGCCTCCATTGTGTAGGGTCTGAAGGCAGATCAGTACCTAAGGCTGAGACACAGTGAAAAGGCCATTAGCAGCCAGAAACACCTGAAATGATCACATAAACCCTCAGAAAAAAAAAACCCTCCCCAAGCACAAGAAGCAGGAACAGTGTGAAGAGGTCCTGTCCTGAGGTCTCTCAACTTCAGACCTTGATGACGCAGGAGCCAGGGGTCTCCAGCAATGCAGCCCCCATGGTCCAGCCTGCCTTGTCCTTTCTCTCTGGACATCTCTGTGGGGACATGTAATTGTGCTGCAGCAGGGGGAGAAGCAGCAAGAAGATTGGAAGAGAATTCCTGTCAGGAAGGAAGCAAAAGGAGGGCAGGAAGCTCAGTGCTTTCCTGTCATGCAGCGCAGGGCCCTGAGTCCACCAGAGCTGGGTGGACAGACAGCTCCACTCACTTAGTCCTACCATGCATGCTTCAGTGGGATTGGCACAGCTATCATAAGATTTATTCTCTAGGCCCTTCACCAGCTTCATTGACCTCCTCTGTACTCGCTCCAGCACCTCGATATCTCTCTTGAATTGAGGTGCCCAAAACTGGGCGCAATACTCCAGGTGTGGTCTCACCAGTGCTGAGTACAGGGGGACAATCACCTCTCTACTTCTGCTGGTCACACTATTTCTAATACAAGCCAGGATGCCATTGGCTTTCTTGGACACCTGGGCACACTGCTGGCTCATCTTCAGCCACCTGTCAATTAGAACCCCCAGGTCCTTTCCTGCCAGACACTTTCCAGCCCGTAGCCTTGCCTGGGGTTGTTGTGGCCCAAGGGCAGGACCCAGCACTTGGCCTTGTTGAAGCCCAGACCATTAACATTAGATCAACTATCTAATCTATCCAAGTCTCTCTGTAGAGCTTCCCTATCCTCACACTATCCCTATCCCAATACTCCTACCTAGCTTGGTGTCATCTGGAAACTTACTGATAATACACTCTGTGTCCTTATCACAATCATCAATAAAGATGTTAAACAGAAACAGTCCCAACACTGACCCCTGAGGAACACCACTTGCGACTGGCCACCAGCTGGATTTGACTCCATTGACCACCACTCCTTGGGCCAGACTGTCCAGCCAGTGCTTGATTCAACACATCGTGTGCTCATCCAGGCCATAAGCAGCCAGGTTTTTTATGAGGGTTCTATGGGGAACCTCCTTTTTGGAGGTCCAGATGGGCACTGCCAACACCTCTGTGAGGTGCTTTCAGAGCACTGCCCTCTGCGGTGCCAGGACATCAGCATCCTCCCCACAAGCCCTCCCTGACACGGGCTGCTTTCCTCCCACGTCACAAGGACAGTCCCTGCTCCATCCAGTCAGACACAACTTCCCTGCAACGGCACCAAACCTCCTGCTCTCCCAAAATGTCTCTATGTGGCACAGTGAACAATCACCCTCCAAGCCCTGCCCAGCCAACAATACCTGGCCTGCACTCAACACGGCTTGTCAAACAGTCCTGCCTAGCTAACAGCAGAAAGAACAGGCTGATGACACACACGTGGCCCCCAGGCACCCCATTTCTCCATACAGCTGCACGGTGCCCACCTGAGCCCTGGAAAGTCAGGAAGAGGGAATGCTAACACAGGCAGGAGAAAACCATCCCCATTGACGAGTTGCAGCCAACTTCCAGTGAGAGTGCCAGCAGGGGATCCAGCCACGGAAAGGCATTCTGCTGACGGGACTGCTCTGTTTATCCAGTCCGACTCACCTCCTGGGAACAAAGCGGGTTTGTACTCAGCAGG